TATTTTTAATAAATACTATCATTTATTCTTTGTTTTTGAATAATTAATTTTATTAATTAATTTTATTAAAGTACTATTTATAGAAATTATCTTATTCGTCTAAAAAAATACTACAATAAACTGTTATTATTCTGTTAATTGAAATAAAGTATTATAAAGTATTTACTTTTTAAGAAAAATAAATAATAAATGACAAATTCATAGCAATAAAAAGAGTTAAATAAAAAAACAAATATTAAAATATTAAAAATATTCATTTTCATTTAAATAATAAATTTTTACAAAATGTTATATATAACTTAAATTATAAAAAAGAAAAAAAAACTAAAAAAGAAAAACTTCAAAATAATTTGTAATAAAAAACAATGAAATACCAAGCACATTCACAATCAACCACATCAATTCATTTTCTTAATAAAGATCAAGGAATTGTCAGTACGTGTTTGTAGGTAATTTTTTTTAAAAGACAAAATATTATATTTATTAAATAATAACTGAATGAAACTAGCTGCTGATGGAACTCTTGTAATTCATGATTTAATAAAAAATGAAAACAAAGGAAAATTTGTTGCTCAAAAAGGAGGAATTAATGATAGTAGTGTATTTGATGAAACAACAATATTTGTTGTTGGAGAAGATGATAGTTTATGGCAAGTAGATACAAGAGCTCCTTCATTAATAAAGAAAATACAAATTAATCCGAATTCATCTCACCTTTGTGTTTCATGTTCTGTATCTAAACTTGTAGCAGTTTCAACAAATAATTTAATTAATTTATATGATATGACAGCTGATAAAATAATTAATGTTGACCAATCTATTCACTCAAATATTATTACTTCATTATGTTTTAATGGTATTTTATTACAAAGTTCTTCACTTGATGGTACAATTGTTCGTACGTATAAAGAGTCTGTAAAAACACGTCTTCCAGTTTCTTATTCACCAGTGTTTGTTAAAATTATTATAAATTATAATATAAAATAGTAGTAATGAATAGTTTATATTCAGATTTCCCTCATTGGGATATCTCCATTGGTGGATGTGCTGATGGAAATATTGTATTATATAAAATGAATAATATTATTCAAACTTGGAAAGGCTATCAACCTAATGGAAGAATTGTTCCAATTAAACCATTTGATAAAGACTTTCAAAAATTTGTTTCTGGAAGTGAAGATGGAACAATTAAAATTTATTCTGTTGGAAATGAAGAGCCCCAACAAATTAAAAAAGAGTTAACTGGTTCAATAACTTCTATAGATTGCAATGATACTCATATTGTTATTGGAGGTGTTGATCCATTTATTTCTCTCATACAAAAGTCTTCTTTAAATTGAATAAATGATTGAATTATAATTATTTTTTCTTTTGTTCATTCCAAATCATTATTTTTAATACTCTATCATTATGAACCGCAAAAAGGGTATGAGGAATTTCTTTTAAAGAATATAAATCATAATCTGTATCACTACTTTCATTTTCTTTAATATATTCTCTATCTTTTTGAATAATTCCCCACTAAAAAATAAATTAATCTCTTCTTTTGTTGTTTGATAATTTCCTTATTAAAAAGAAATAAAAAAAAAAACAAACATTATCACTAAATTGAAATTTATTCTTTTCTTCTTCAAATTTCCAATGACATTGTGCATATTTAAGAAATTCTTTATCAGTTTGATCATTTGTATGAAGAACAATTCCAATAATAATAAAAGAAATATTACATAAAATATCAATTCCAAAGTCATAAAAAGAACAAACAATAATACCATTACTAACATTAACAGAATCTGGTTCTTTATTAAATATTACTTTAATTTCATCAGCACTTTTTCCTAAAAAGAGTTCTTTACATCCATCACAACCTGAAGAATCAATACAAAATAATAATTTATTATCTTTCTATTAATAAATAAAAGTCATTTTAATTTATTGAAGAAAAAATAATAAATACAAACAACTTGAACATCTCTTAAACTTCTATATTTTTCTTTTAAATCATATTTCATTTTTTCATTGTTTGAATAACATTTAATAACAGTTAAAATTGGTCCATTATATTCTACTTGAATATGTTTATAATTATTAATAGCAAATTTAATATCTTCATTTATTTCACAATGATTCTTTAAATAATACTTTCCATCTTTTGTAAATATTGATGGATATTTAATTTCTATTCCTGTTATTGTTTGTTGTTCATCAAAAAAAATACTCATTTCCATTTTATTCCAACTATATATTTTACACATCTCTTTATTCTTTTTATGTCTTGATTGATTATCCCCTTTCTTTTCTTCTATTAATTCAGTTTCTTGACTATCTTTATTCTTTTCAAGTATTGGTTGACTATCTGCACTCTTTATTATTGGTTTAATTAATTGAACAAAATTATATAATGGCATTCCAATTTCTGCTCCTGCTATAATAGCGTCTTCAAAATTAACTTCAACACCTTCCATATCCATTATTGTTATTTTATTGTTTTTGAGTTGAATTATAAATATTATTTTGTTTAATAAAAATATTAATAAATATAATACAAAAAAATATTTATTTTAGTAAAGTTTGACTATTTATTTAATAAAGTATGAAACACACAACAAATGTCTGTAAACATTGAACACCCAAAACACGTTTGAAACAATACTTGGTGACACCCATCTTTGGTTGAATAAATAACTTCAAATGGAATTTTACTTTTTCCATTAATTGTAGAAAATGTCCATTCTTTAATTCTTAACTCATCACAAATTTGATTAATCTTTAATTTCATTTCATTTTCATTCTCATAACTTTCACAAATAACTTTTCTTGTAGTTCCTCTTGTTATTTTATCAATTAAAATATTATTATCTGCTGTTGGAATAGCAAGTAATATATTTTCTGATTTAATTTTAAAAGTATTTGTTTCATTTGATGAATTAAAAAATTGATTTTCTAATAACCGATACATTTCTTTTATTGTGTTAGGATTAGGTGATGCTAAATAATCTCTTATTGATATTTCATTAATATTAGGTAATATATAACAAATTATTTCTAATAAATCTTTTTGAGGAGTCAATATACCTGGACCATTATACATAGCTATTGCTGTTTCTTTTGTATTGTCTAATGCAGCTTTAACAAAAGGATGTTTCATAACTTGTTGTAATGTAATTCTTTTTGAAGGATCTTTTTGAAGCATTTTTGATAAAAGATCACCTGACCCATGATTAACAGGAAAGTTTGTTTCTTTACCATCAAAAAAATAAGGATGACTTCCATATAACATTACATGTAATAATTCTCCACATGAATAAACATCTGCTAAGAATGGGTCATAATCAACTCCATTAAATACTTCTGGAGCAATATAACCTGGTGTACCAATACGTTCTTTTAATTTTTCATTTAATGAAAATAATGAATAACCAAAATCAATAAGTTTTATATTCGTATGACCTGAGTCTAATAAAATATTTTCTGGTTTAATATCACGATGACTATTGATATAAATCACGATATTATCATTTTTTTTATGAAAAGACAACGTAAATAAAACAAACCAAATTCCTTTAGAATGTAAATATGATATACATCTTAATACCTGACAAAATAACTTAATAGAAGTTGTTATATCTAATGTTCCTTGTGTATGAATTAAGTTATATAATTCTCCACCTTCCATATAATCTAAAACAATAAATAAATGAGTAGAATTTTCATATATTTGATGGAGTTGTACTATATATGAATTTCTTATTATTTTCATAAAAATAATCTCACGATAAATTTGTGATTTGATTTTCTCTTGTTTATATGAACTTTTTTCAATAATTTTAATCGCATATTTCATTCCTGTCATTATATGAATTCCTAAAAACACAACGGCAGTTGAACCATGTCCTAATTTCTTTCCAATAATGTAATCTCCTATTTTATATACTGTTAAATCAGGTCCTTCCATTTCTTTCTATTATTTTTGATTTTTCTTTTTTATTTTCAGTTTTTTTTTTTAACTTTATTTTAAAAAAATGTTTTATTTTTAATTTTATTCATATCACAAAAAAAAAGATAGAAATATTTTTTGTTATAAAAACCAATTAAATTCTAAAAAATGTCCCACAATTAGATGAAGAAAATCATTAAAAAGACCAATAAAGTAATAACAATTCCTGTTGTTTTGTTATCATTATCACCAGATGGATTAACAACAACACAACCAATTGGGTCTTGCTTGTTTTCCCCTGCACCATCTTGAGGATCGTAATCAGCAGTATCACCATCTCCTAATTCCATTTCAACATATAAATTATTTTGAAGTTCAGAACCATCTCCATATTCATCAATACCATTAATTCCACAAAGAGTATCCCAATCAATTTTGAAATGTCCACCTTCAACTCCCCAATCATTTCCCCATGAATTTCTTACCCAAAGGAATTTATGTCCATCACATTCTCCATAACCATCAACAGTAATAACATGGTCAGTAATTTGTCCAGTACAACTTTTAGATTTATAAATACCACCTTCATATCTATATAATGACTCAGTAACTTTCATTGCACTAATAAATCCATGATATCTATAAATAATTTCTTTTATTTCTTCCCAATTTTTATTGGCAAAGTGAGTAAATTTATTACTAGTAGCAAATTTTAATGGATAATCAACATTTAAGTCTTTACATTCATGTTTAAATCTTGTACAATCAGTAGGATCTTCACATTCTGTATTACCATCAATGAATGGATAATCATTTGCATAATAAATTCCATCTACAGAATTAAGAACATCTTCAGCAAATCCTCCTCCACATCCACCCCATGACTCAGTATTACAATCAATTAATTGTTGGGCAGATAACATTTTTCGTTTTGGTTTATTATTATCAGCTTGTTTAGTTAAATAAGCATAAATTGTTGATAAATGTTGTGCTGGTCCAACTGCATAACATCCACCACATACATTTTGATCAATATTATTGGTTCCACAATAATTATATTCAGCTTCAGAAGTACATAATGCATAATTATTTGGAACTTCTTGTTTAAGAGCTTGTTTTGTTGAATTTACTTTTTCTATTTGAATTTTTTCTTGAATTCTTCTAGCACCCATTCTTCTATTATTTTGTATTTTACTTGATGATGCAAGAAGTTCACTACCTTCCATATCTGCAAATTTATTAATTCCCATTCGATATGAACTTTCTTTTGCATTATGTTCTCTCATCATTTTTACATTTTTTATAAAAACTGCTTTTCTTCTTAATTCTTCAGCAATATTCAAATATTCTTTTTTATATTCTTGTTTAAATTGCTCAAATAACTTAAGTGGATCTTCATTTAAATTAAATGAACTTCCTTCACTTCCTAATACTAGCAAAACTAAAACAACTCCTATCATTATTATATTTTTTCAAGTTCTTCGTATTGTCCTTTTATTTCAAAGTATTCTCAGGATTCTTTCTTTTTTCTCTTTTTTTAACTCACAAAAATATTTCATTTCTATTTTTATTTTATTACATAATTTTTTCTTGCAATTATTTTATTATATTAATTATTATTTTTTAATTATTATTTT